AACGGGACATCGCATCACCCAGTCTGTAGGAAAGAAGAACCTGGAACATCACCCGAATGGCTGCCCAGTGCTAGCATTTTCTCTGCATCCCACCCATGTTATGGGATCCTCAGCCTATGTCTGAAAGACTATGGTGGCTCAGTGGTTAGAGTGTCGGCCTGCGGATCGAAGGGTCCTGGGTTCAATTCCAGCCAAGGGCATGTACTTCAGTTGCAGGCTCAGTCTCCATCCCCAGTTGGGGCAAATGTGGGAGGCAACCAATCGGTTCCACTCTCTCTCTCCCTTCTACTTTCTCTCTCCCTTCCACTCTCTCTGAAAAGCACTGGGGAAAAAAAATCCTCATGTAAGGATTAAGAAAGAAAAAGGAAGACTGTGGTGGTGGAACTCACAAGTCACCTGTGCCTTGGGACAGATATGTTTTACAATGACGTTCCTTCTTATATTGAGCTGGACATGTGTCCTTGAGCCTCTGGCTTCTATTATCACCTGGAACCATAGGCTTAATGACATCTGTCCTCCACATGAGACTGCTTCAGGTATTTGAAAACAGCTAACACATTTCTCAGCTCCTTAAAGAGGGAAATGGAAATGAATGTTGGAGGACTCACTGTTTTGTGTCAGACATTAAGCTAGGATCATTTACCTAAAATAGCTCCTTTAGGAGGAAAATCAAAATCAAACCCAGAAAATAAACAAAGAAACCAGAAAAAACAAACAAACCCAATAATAAAAGAAGAAATGACTTTCTCAAGTAAGTGGCAAGGCCAAGATCTGAACTAGAGTAAATTGCAAAATTGTTTATATTAAACAATACATTTAAATTTAGCACTTATTTTTAATGAGGTAACATAGCTTCATAATTCAAGAAGCCAAGTATTGCTAGAATAATATAGCAATAATAGGTTAATAATAATCACCTGATTCAACTGGAAGTGAATCCATTGCTCTGTCCACTGTGCATGCTGGCTCTGCCCCGAGTCCCTCACCAACCTCATTGCTGCACATGTAAACACACACACACACAGAATACATATGGCTGGGACAAGATTTACTAACATTTCCACAACCTGCCTTATCTTTAAATTTTTCTCATTGAAAAACCTGGAGAATGTGCCAAAATGATCTCTGAAAGAGTCAACGGAGTATTGGAATTTCTCTTTAACTGATAATCATCGAATCTGTGCTTCTCTGTATGACGCTCTGTGCAGAAGCAGGGCAGAACAGGTTGTGGATTGCCTTCTAAATGTGTGGTCCTCAAACCTAAACACAGTTCTTCTAGTGTGAAAATATTAAACAGCTCTGACATGGGAATAAGAGCTACATTGTACTTTCAAATACACAGGAAGGGCTAGAGGAAATTAGATTTAGAATCCGTAATAAAAAGAAAATTAGTTTTCTTATTTGTAACCTTTCTTCTGTATTTAAAAAGACTGAGTTCATTTCATTCCAATATTTAACCTCTGGGCCCTCCTTGCTATCTGTCCAATGATACATTCATACTTTCAATAGGCATCTCTGTCCTCACCAGCCTCTCTAATGGTTCAGCTTGCAAGTCATTAAGCCCAAGTAATCCCAGCGAATGAAATTGTTTAAATATTTCTTTTTGACCACCTCGCCCTCACTCACATCCGAAAATACACAGATATGCAGGCACACCCTATTTCAGTAAGTTCATTTTTTATATATAACTTCTCCAATCCTGTAGCAGTGTCGGCAAATAAACAGGAAACAAAACAACCAACCAAAAACAAAACCCAGCCACATTTTTGTGCTCTCTGGTCACCTTGGGTGATTTCTGGGTCTTCTACAAATAATGTCAATGCAACTTGCTGAGCGGAAAGGGAGGCAGGGGCTCGGGGTTCTTCATAAGGTTTAGAATTAAAAAAAAATCCTGCACAATATTTATTTGGAACCTTATAAATATAGTAAGAATACAAAGAAATAGTAGCTATGAGCTCTTCCCATGTGGAACTCATGATATATATAGCCTGAGAAGTAAGAGCATCTAAGAAGGGCTGAACAGAAGAGATAGTGAGTTCAGGCAACAGGATGGTATAGAATCAGTGTTTTAGAAAGTTTCCATCCTAATAAAAGACCTTATCTTCTAAGATGGCCCAAGGCAAGGAAGGAGTTAAGCAATGGGATTGTGGCCCCCATTTAGTGTCTAGTGAACCCCATGGTTTTGGATAGTTTGCTTAACCTCTGTGGGTTTTAATTTCATTATTTGAAGGAAAAAAGTCTCAAATGAATAAATAGGTGAAGTATTCTTCAGACATAAAAATCTGCAACTGCGCTATCCTGTCATGGGAAGGGCCTGAGTGTGCCTAGAGTGGCTAACACAAGCCACAGAAACACCTGTCTAGACGTATACAACATACACACGCACAGGTACGTACACACTCGTGCATGCAGAGTGCCCATGGGCCACTGCCTGGACAAACTGAGCGTCGCAGGAAGGTTCTGAAATGAGCTGCTTCAATCAGGTATTTAAGTATTTCTTGGAGGTGGTTCTGGAGCCATCACAAAGTTCTTTTTCTTTTCATTTCTGTAACCACGGTATTTTCATAGCATTGGAGATCATGAAGCCTCACCGTTGATCTGTGGAACTGGTGTGGAGACCATAATTCCACTCCAGCCCGGCGACGCTCAGGCCCTTAGGGATGGCAGCCTCACCACTGCAGGCCCTTCCCCCAGGGGCGCTAGACACAAATTCAGTTCTGAGTGCTGCTGTCTCGGAAGTCAGGTCCGGAATTTTTAGTACTAGCCTCTTTCACTTAGGTTATGATACACCTGGCAATTTTGCTGACATCAACTTACAAGTGTCATTTTCTTTTTAACACATCAGAGAGGGTTCCTTCCCGATACAAAGTCTAAGTCTGACATGTCTGCATACTTGTTTGGACTAATGTCAACATGGGTCCAGGGGCCTGTGTGTGAGCTGGAAAAACTCCCTTCCTCGGTCCCCAACCTGGTGGGCTTTGGAGTGTCAGTGTCTCCCTCAGGGAAGTCAAACAAAATGGGATGTTTTCGCTCAGATCCCTTGCCTTTGGGCTTGCTGTGAGCTCCAGCACCGAGAGGCTGCTTCTGGATGGCTTTTGCCTGTTAATGACCTGGTCTGAGGTCACTGGTCAGTCTCAACTGAGGGAGGACTGTCTTTCCTCATAGACTCTGACACACGTGGACAACACACACACACAACGCTGTACAGGCCTCTCCAAGAGGAAGGGAGCCCAGGACTGTCCCCTTACACTGCTCTCCCACCCTGCCCTTCAGCTTCCCTTTCGTTTCTCCTGCCTTGAAGAGTGACTGCCAACCCTTCCTGGAGGTTTCCTCTCTCCCACCGGTCTGCAGCCTCGCCTCCACCTGACAGTCCTCACATCACCATGAACGAGGGGCTCTGTGCCCACAAAGCACAGACACTGCTAGCTCCTGTCTGAACAAGGCCTGAACGTTGGCACTAAACCTCTCTGCCCACTGACTCCCTCCTTGCCACCGCTGATTCTTTTCTGCTCTTCTTGGCAAACACTCAAACTGCTTATTCCCCTCACCTTGGTGATATTAATAAAAATATGATATTCAGAAAAAAAGGCAATGCAGTTGGCTATGATACAATGCCACAATTCGATAGATAGTTTGATAGATATAGGTTATCTGTCTTTTCACATGGAACAAAATCTTACCATACAATAACTACATCACGGATGGTGAAATATTAATGAGTAAGTCCATGAGAGAAGTTTATTTCAGAGGAGGGGTTACCTGGCCCTAACAATAACGCTTCATAGTAATAGTAATTATATAGCAAAGTAATAATAATAGCAATTATCATTTATAATAAGCCAAAGTGATTTATAAATAAATCATCTCCTTTTCCCCCAACAACCTTATGAGGCAAGTCCTCTTACTTCTCTCCTTCTACAACTGAGGAAATAAAGGATTAGAGATGTTAATAAGCTGGCCCAGCACACAAACACTAGACAGGTAAACAACATTCAAATTCTGTCAATTTGATTCTAGAGCCTAACTACTCAACCACTGCTCACTGCTTCCCCGTAAGTGTTATAATTAAATCGATTGATGACAGAGATAATTTGGACTACCTTAGATCAGATTAGTTAAATTAAACTAGATTGGCAGACAGACACCAGAGTCCCTTCCCAATTATGACAGTTATGTTTCTAAAACACCTCGGGTAGCAGAATTTCCTGTTGAGGACTTCAAGACTTCATTTTTTTAAATGCATTAGGGAAAATCAAAGATAGTAAGAACATTGAAAAAGCTGTTTTAAAGTAAGCATTATAATGATATTAAAATATAACAACACTATGTGAAAGGAACCTCTATATAGTAATATGCATCACACAATAGTGAAGGACTTCATACAGTTCATTATTACATACAGAAGAGTCCTTTCCTTATCACCACACTGATGATTTTCTCTTTGCCTCAATTATTTAGGGGTAGACATATTTGAACACGTATCAGCGGAGCGATGTTGTGGAAACACATCTCCTTTATCAGATATGGCGAGTTAAATTGAAGACCTGTGATAATCGGGGACTGTTCACTGCCAGAGTCAGCAAGAAGGGGTAGAAACAGGAGTGGGCAGGGAACATGGTGAAGGTCAGCCAAAAAAGTATGAAGAGAGGAAAATCGGATGACAGGGCCTTACACACAGTACGTGCGCCATACCTATGAACTGAAAAAAATATGAATGGTAGATGGATAGATTGATGGGTGGGTGATGGACAGAGTGAAAAAATATTGAATATTTCCAACTTCACAGTTTTGCCAAGGAGTAGATGAGGTGTTACATTTGATTGCTATATTGCATTCTGTTATAATCTATATTGTACTTTTCCATCCATGAGTGAGGAAAATAAAAACATAATGTCCCCTAATCACTGTCTGTGGAAAGCTGAGGACATATTTTGCTCTGCTCCTTTCAGACTCTGTTTCAGATTAATGAGAGGCTTTAAAACATCGTGAAAAGTACCAACCTTGAAAGCTGCGTTCTGTTTTGCTCATCTCACCTAAAAAAAATATAAAAAGACAGAAAGAAAAAGAAAATTTAAGTGAAAGCCAATTAAGGCAACAAGTTAAAAGAGCATTTTTTAAAACCTTTACCCATTTGCCCTTGACAATGGAGACACTTAACGGTGGAGAAATACCCTGATGAAACTTCACCCACTAAACTGTTTTTAAGTATTATATTTTGTGCTTTTTGTATTTTGTGATAGTTTGCTTTTGAAAATTTCTTGGGCTCACAGCCATATAAATGACAATGCGTAGAGGTACAGAGGGGATGTTTAATAAAAATGATAAAAGTAAATTATATGTAAAGAAAAATTATATAGGCAACACTTAATCAACCCATGGAAATTTCCATCATGATAAGATTTTTCAGTAAATGCAGGCAAGAGTCTTTGAAGAGGCTGTTATAATTTATTCTCAAGTTCTGTCTTTCTAATCCTGAATGCTGATTAGAACACAAGCTTTCACTTCTGCTCCCTCCTTGCTCCCCCAATAATCTGTTCTCCCTTATGGACCAAGTGATTATTGTCTTGTTTATAATAACTGTTCTACATTCCTTATGGAAATTGTAATTATGATGCTGAATATTCAAACTGCAAGCCATTTTTCTCAGGGAAATTGTAATTATGATAATGCAGTATTTACCCAACCAGTGTTTTCTAGCCATAGTTCTCTTTGAGGATTGAGGAGGTCAGAGAAAAACACTGAAATAAAACATCCTGTTGGGATCTCAGATATGTATTCTGGAAAAGCATAATAATAGTGGCTATTATTAGCTCTATGGCAGGCACGACACAATCAGGATGACATGTATATGACGTGTGAATTACATATATCTCTCAACCTGTATACCACCCCCCATAAGGTAGGTAATATTATTATCTCAATTTTATAAGGCTCAGAAAAACTGAGTCATTTACCTAATATCACACAACTAGTAAATAATAGAGTCATGGTTTAAACCCGGGTCTGTCAGACCTGAAAGCCTATCTATTAGCTCATTTTCAAAGGCCTCTTTTTAAATTCACTGGCTCCAGCGCACATTCAGGGAGCTGATTCAACCACAATTTCTCTTTTGTGAAACCAGAGCCTTTTCAGTTCCTATGCAGAGTGGTCTGCTCCCTGGCAGATAGATGCGACCCTGGTTCCTGATAATGAAATTTCTACCATTACCTCCGAGAATGGAATAAAACCTTTGCTCAGAGTAAGATTTGATGCAATTTGGCATTACTCATTGAGATTAAAATTTTTCATGCCCTCTGACCCAAGGGTTCCACTTCTAGAATTTATGCTAGAATGTAAGCGCAATCATTGTAGCATTGTTTTAAATAGTGAAAACCTACAGAAGTGGCCCAAATGCACCAAATACTTTCTGGTACAATAGAATACAACAGAACCCTCAAGTTATTAAAAGTCATGCGCCCATACTATGTATCCTGGAAAAACACCCATGAGACACCACTAAGATAAAACAGCATGCTGTGAAACAGTATGCATAATATGACCCTGCTTTTGTTAAAATATATGTATTTTATGTAAATATAGTATCTGATTTTGCATAGAAAAATATCTAGAAGACTAGAAACCAAATAGTTAAAGCAGTGACCCTGGCTCGTGTGGCTCTGTTGGTTGGAGCATCGTTCTGCACACCGAAAGGTTGCCGGTTTGATTCCTGGTGAGGGCACGTGCCTGGGGTGGGGTCCATCTCAGGGAGGGAGAGGCAGCCTATCAATGTTTCGCTCTCACACCCATGTTTCTCTTTTTCCCTCTCTCCCCCTTCCTCTCTCTCTAAAAAAATCAATAAAAATTATTTTTAAAAAACCATGAATACTTAAAGTAGTTATTTTCTTTCAATAGGCTGAGAAGAAAACTTGTCCCCCATGATAAATACTCAATGAGCAAAATGTTTATAGCAAGCATGCTTTCTTTATCTTTATCTTTTTTTTTTCTTTTTTGGGGGGTGCAGGGGTAGGCAGGAAACACATTTTTAAATGAGTGAAAGAATCAAGGACACCCAAAATAACCCCCAAAATTATACTATTTCAAAAAGAAAACAAACAAACCCAAATCCAATCCAAGCCAATCACTGGAAAATACTATTAGGTGAGCCACGAGGCAGGATGGGAAGGCATCTTGCCTGCCTGCCTACTTCCACTTTGCTAGATTTCTACAACCCAAGCAAGGACGGAAGCCCCGTCCTTTCCTCTTTAGCTCAGCAGTGGGTGTTCAGGATTTTTTTCAATATTAAGAAGCCAGGATTGAGCATCTACCATGTACGAGTACTTTACAGTCTTTTTCTTTAAATCTTATAACTCTGTAAAGTAGGTATTTTCACTTCAACTTTATACATGGGAAAAATGAGGCTCAGTGGAGTAATTTATTTACCCAAGTTTTCCAAGTCGGCCTTTGTTCTTTTAATTTGGCAAATTGACCAGTTTGGTCAAAAAGGAACTAAGATTAAAAAAAAAAAAAAGCCTCAGAAACTAAGAGCAAACAAGAAAGAAATTTAAAAATGCAAGAACAAAAATATATAAATTACTGAGTTTTCAGTAGGTTATTTAATAACCACTGGCTTACCATCATCTGCAGCTTGAGAATAGCTTATAGGATTTGTTCCTGGTCATTCTCTCAGCTTTACTAAATTTCTAATACCCTGACCAAGAAGTTTCATTTCTACCCTACATTTTTTGAAAAATATATATTTTTTATTGATTTTAGAGAGAGAGGAAGGGAGAGGGATAGAAACATTGATGAGAGAGAAACATCAACATCCATTGGCTATCTCCTGCATGCCCCTTGTTGGGGATCGAGCCCGCAACCCGGGCATCTGCCCCGACTAGGAATCAAATGGGTGACCTCTTGGTACATGGATCAATGTTCAACCACTGAGCAACAGTGGCCAGGTACCTTACATTTTTTTTTAAGCTTTAAAAACCCCTCCCCCCTTCATTGTTTCAGTAGAACCCATCTATTTCATATAGGCCACCCAATATATATTTCTGTTCACCCACATGTGAAAAGGTTGATAAGCTGTCCAACCTGATAGCAACAGGGACCAATGCTAAGCCTCAGTTTCAGTGCTATTCCTTGGGGAGATCAACCAGCCACTTGATGGACAGTTGATTGTGACACTGGACCTCTTCCACCTTAGAAGAATCAGTGATTCATTTTGACTAGAACTGGAACAGATTCCAAATAAAGATTTGCTTATTTGCCTGCATGACCTTGTTCAGCATCATGACCTGAGAACCTACAGAGTGTTTGATTCATGTGGACACAATAAGCATAATATCAGCTCAAACCAATGGAAATACTTTGGAGTTCAGCTGTGGGTACATAATCATGGAATCCACTCATCCCAATACATACTACATGACTCAAAAGCTGCTGGCCTGACAGATTGATGGAACAGCCTTTTGAAGGTCTAGCTGAAGCAGCAGCTTGGATATGACATACTGCAAGGGTGGGGTGCCAGATAAAGTACATGGTAAACACTCTAAGTCATATTTCAGTACTGCATCCCCGACTGATAGAGTACATTGGTCTAGGAACCAAGGGGAGGAAGTAGGAGTGGTCATTCCCAGTGACCGAAGTGAGGAATTTGTGCTACCTGGTCCCACAAATTTAGGCTTTGCGGATCTAGAGATCCTGGTTTTCAGAAGGAAAATATTTCTGTGAAGGGACACAGTAGGAAGCTCATTAAACTTTAAGATTTGTCTTATATCCAGTATTTCTGGGCTCCGTGTGCCGGGAGAGTGGGTAACTGAATGAGCACTGGCAGCAGGTAGGGCTCGCAATGAAGGCACCCAGTTGATTCACGGGCATTTCTTAGCAGTTTCCTCTCTATTTTCGATAGCAAGTGGACAAGTGCAGAAGCCCTGCCTAAGAAGGGAATGGTGAGGAGGATTTAAGGTCTATCAGTAATAATCTGTGCCACTCACAAGGCAAGCCACATAGACCAGTAATGGTGCAGGCTGAGGATGAGCGAATTCTACAACAGGTAGGAGAAGAGAGAAGACAGAGAAACAAGAGGTATCAGTTGCAGTATTGAGACTAGCTGCACTGGCAGGGCCTGTGTTCCCATTAATCTTCCTCTCAGAGGTTTTATCAAAAAAGGTGACTTACTAGAATCCTGAAGAAGCTGTTCCCAGCTGCCCGAAGTGTTGGCTTCTAATTGCTCACAGCTGACTCCTCTGAGAATTGTCTTCCTTCCACCAAAGAGACTGCCTTCCCCACAAGCATTCACCCTCCCACAGGCAGCTCACATCTAATGACTGATCAATATAGGGGTGCAAAGGCCAGGTCCTCTTTTCTGTATTTGGGACATCTATAACAATATTGATCCCAAGAACACTCCTCAACAAACTTCCTGCATAAAAACCACTATCTCAGAGTCTGTTTTGCACAAGAACTGACCTAAAACAAGGTTACAAAGTTCAGAAATCATGAAACTGAGAATTGAACACAGATATGACTGACTCTGAGTCCATATCCTATCCATCATATCTTGCTGTCTCCCATAAAGAACAGTTTATTCTAATTGTAAACATATTTTTGTTTAGGCATAACTAGTCAATAATGATATGTTTAAGCCTGTAAGTCAGAAAACAGTCTTCAATGTTATATAATATCTACAATTATACTGTCACTGGAACATTAAACGTATTTATATGTATTGAATCCAGGCTGAGATAAATCAGCAGTTATATATACACATACATACTATTTATAATATTGCATTAAAACATATAACCTATAAAATATATCTCAAGGCTTATTTCAAGGTTAGTCTGGCCCAGATCTCTAATTATGCTAGCCTATTTTCAAAGAACAAAATGATACTTTTAATCATGCCATTTTCTATGGAAAAAAAATTCAAGACCTCTGTGTTTCAGAAAACTTACAAGATTAGTTACGGAACAAGGACTTACATTTTCTACCATAAATGTAAGAATTTTATCGGGCATGAAATGCAGTCAGAGCTATTTACAGTCCAGGA